TTGGGGGGGTAGTTGTTGTTGTATTTTGTTTTGGTTGGGTTTTTTTTGTATTTTTGTTTGGTACATGTAATAGTTTTGCGGCGGTCGCTACTGCCTACAGTCATGTGAACGCGTATTAAGTTTTGGTAGCCAGTTGGCAAATCATTAACACTTGGATGTTGCACAACAAATACAATACAGCCGAGATTGTCTAAGACAGCCACCAACTGTCTGAGAGAAAAGTAGTTTTTACAGAGTCGGACTTCTCGGACAATGCATGTCATTATAATAATTATGTGTTTTAACACAAGGACTAAAATGGGAAGTGGTCGTTTGTGCATGTGATTGTCCGGGACAGGTGGCGTTAAAGCAGGTTAGACTGTATAGTTGTATAATAAACGGGGTTGTAAGTATGTTTGTTCAACATTCTTTTAAAAAAATTAGTTTTTGTGTTTTAATTTCTATCTTATTCAAATGAAAATGTATATTTCTGAACCACAATCAGATTGTAAACAGACACGATTGTCTGCATCTCACCTAAACAGGTTAGAGATTGACGATCATAGACTCGGTCTTGCGCTTTTTGAAGTCAGACAATGCGAGCATTATTTTTATCAGCTGTGAGCGAATTGTTGATCATTTTATATTTCGATTGTAAAGAATGAGGAGTTCATAGCGCTTTCATTTCATTTCATAAGCCGTAAAAAAATATAAATTGATATTGTGCGTGGAGTTGGAGTTCGAGCGTCCATTTATCTTGCGCGTTCAGGACGCATAAATTGTGGCAAAATTTTGTATATCTAACTTTCAGTACAACATATCTAGAATGACACGGTGTCCCAACAGACTCGCTTTGAGGTGACATTATGCCGCGCAGAAAAGCATAAAATTGCCAATTATGTGATTCAGTTGGCGAAGAGGAACGCCTGATGAAGCAGTGCGGGGCCAATCTCGAAATGGTCGCCATTACAGTGAGAGCCGGCCCTCGGGGAGTTGACACAGTCTCTTCTTAATCTCGCCAAATCTCGTTTCATCTGGCCGGACAATGAGACATGAGTCAGAGGCCCAGCCCAGGCCGGCGGGCCAGCGGGGGG